AAGGAAGGAAGGAAGGAAGGAAGGAAGGAAGGAAGGAAGGAAGGAAGGAAGGAAGGAAGGAAGGAAGGAAGGAAGGAAATCAGCATTCAGCACCAGGTGGCATTCTGGGGACAGAAAGAGGCATCAAGGGGCTCTCCTTGCTCTGTGTGTGTGTGTGTGTGTGTGTGTGTGTGTGTGTGCGTGCATGCGTGCGTGCGTGCGTGTGTGTATGGTCGGGGTATCTCTAACCTTCTCAAACCCCCTTGCAGTGTGCCTTACTCGTGGCCTCATTGAAGAACCATTCACAGAAAGAGCTGGAAAAGGCAGATGTGACAGACAACCTGATGCTGAAGCAAAACCAACCCAGAAAATTCTGTCCTCCCAAGCCCACGGCCCCTTCGGTGGCCAGAATGGTTTGACTCCCTTTCCCTGATAACACACAGAGGATTTTATGTCCAGCTTGTTGTCTCCTGGTCTTTCCTAGGTCTCCAAATAGCTGGGCTAGATCCCCTCTCCCCCACCCTATGGGCTCCTGCTGCTTGCATCCCAAAGTTTAGCAGTGACATACAGGACCCTGAGGTCACCTGGGCCTGCCCATTCACAGCCTGTTAAATGTCTTTTGCATAAATCACACCCACACACCCCCCCACATACACAATCAGAATTATCTTTACAGGGAAGATCCTCCATCCTGTAGCAGTGCTACAGAAAATCCTGGAACCACACACTGACTGAGCCCCTTAACCACAGCATAGTCTTAAAAACAAAACAAACAAACAAAAAAACAGCCCCAGAGTAATTAGTTAATTCCCAGCCAGGAAATTGTATTAGTGGAGAATTCTGTGCATGTAGGCACAGTCTTATTCTAAGACCTCCCTCAGGCCTTCCCAGATTCTAGGGGAAAAGCCCTAGGATCTCAAGATCTTCCTCTCAGGCCTTCAGGGATTCCAGAGTCAACGCCCCTAGTGAAGAGGTTGAGGTGGGCCTCCTGACCCTGGGCTAGGGAGCCCCGAAAGTGGGCAGCATCCAGGCCATTTCCACAGACCACTCAAAGGTGTTATTAGCTGGTACAGAGTCCTGGGTGACTTGAACTGTCTCCAAATTCTAGTCATGCCTAAGTAAGGAATTTTCCTTCCTTTTAAACTTAGGTGCTTGCTGCCAGGCACTGGTGACTCATGCCTGTATAATCCTAGCTTTTTAGGAGCCTGAGATCTAGGATCACAGTTTGAAGCCAACCCAGACAGGAAAAGTCCATGAGACACTTATCTCCAATAAACTACTCAGAGACAACTGGGAGTGGTGCTGTGGTTCAAGTGGTAAAGCATTAGCCTTGACTTAAAAAGCTCAGGGACAGCACCCAGGCCCTAAGTTCAAGCCCAGGACAGCACCAAGAAACAAAACAAAAACAAAAAGTAGATGCCTGCTGGCACTGGTGGCTCACGTCTGTAATCCTTGCTACTCAGAAGACTGAGATCTGAGCATCCAGGTTCGCAGCCAGCAGGGCAGAAATGTCCATGAGACTTTTGTCTTCAATTAACCAGCAATAAGCGGGAAGTGGGTGGAGCTGTGGCTCCAGTGGTAGAGCACTAGCCTTGACTAAAAAAGCTCAGGGACAGTGCCTAGGCCTTGAGTTCAAGCCCCAGGACAGCACCAAAAAACAAAACAAACAAAAACAAACCACTTGAGTGGACATAGAAGTTACCCGAGAAGGATGAGTGGTGGATAACTGATCATGAACGATCTGGCAAACTCCCATAGTGCAATCTGGCGCCTTCTCATACTGTTCAGAGCCCCCTCTGAACCTGCTGTCAAGCACATCTGAGGGTAGGCTCCTACCCTTCCACCTCCTCCATACAGACATTTCTGATTGACAGAGCAAGGGTGGAGTGATGGGCTGCCACAGGGACCAGGCCTCTGATGGAAAAGATGGCCTGTTTTCTAGAACATTAAAGATGACCTGGTCAGAGAGAAGAGCCCTCCGCTGAAACCTCAGAAGTTGCCTGCATTCAGTAGCAAAGCAGCCATCTTCCCAGGTAAGGCATGGTGCTAGCCAAGGCAGGAAGGAGGGAAAGCTCCAGGGACCACCAATGCATGGATGGATCATGATGATAAGTGAGTAACTAGTGATTGCTGGCACTAACGGCTCACACCTGTAAGCCTAACTACTCAGGAGGCTGAGATCTGAGGACCATGGATTGAAGCCAGCCTGAACATGAAAGGCCATGAGACTCTTATCTCCAATTAACCACCTAAAAAGCAGAAGTGGAGCTGTGGCTCAAAGTGATAGAGTGCTAGCCTTGAGCAAAACAGTCAGGGACAGCGCCCACGCCTTGAGTTCAAGCCCCATGACTGACAAACAATAGTAGTAGTAGCAGTAGTAGCAGTAGTAGTAGTAGTAATCAGTGATCATGAATATTGATCAGGTACCTGCCCATCTGCCCAGATGATCCCTGTAAGACCTGTCAGTCAATCCTAGGTGGGAGGTTCTCTATGGGTTCCTTCATTTTAATGACACAGAAGATTCAGGATCAGAGGATCAGAGGAGTTCCTGATGTGCCAGCTGGTCTTGATGGTCATGAGAGAGCATTATTTTATGAATGTAATCATTCAGACTGTATGATCATTTTATTGTTTTGTTTTTTGTTTTTGGGTCCAGTCGTGGGGCCTGAACTCTGGGCCTGAGCGCTGCCCCTCAGCTCTTCAGCTCAAGGCTAGCACTCTACCACTTGAGCCACAGCGCCACTTCTGGCTTTTTTATTTTTGCTTATGTGGTGCTGAGGAATCAAACCCAGGGCCTCAGGCATGCAAGGCAAGCGCTCTACCACTGAGCCACCTTCCCAGCCCCTGGCCTCACATTCTTGCTTGGCTTTTTTGCTCAAGGTTAGCACTCTTATCTCTTGAACCACAGCTCCACTTCCCACTTTTTTGCTGATTAATTGGAGATAAGAGTTTCCTGCCCAGGCTGGCTTCAAACTGTGATCCTCAGATCTCAGCCTCCTGAGTTGCTAGGATTACAGGTGTGAGCCACAGAGCCCTGGCTTCCCTGTACTTCTTACCAGTTCCTCTGTAACCTGAGGGCAATGTGAATCTGAGAAGGCACCTATCAGGACTCACTGGGGCTAACTCTAGCAATTCCTGATCCAGGCAAGGTCAGGGGACCTGGGGTAGAGACAAGAGGTACCTAGAAGCCCTCTCAGAGCCCCATTTACAGGAGTACAACAGCTGGAACGTGCCGGGCTGTATAGCTGTGCTGAAGGAACCCATGAGACCAACTCACCCAACCAAATAATGTCCTCCAGCTGCAGATCTGCCCAAGAAAGAAGCAGTGGCAGAACAGAGGCAGAAGACCAAAACCAGGGCAGCAGACGCAGCTCTCACCCTGTTCTACACAGAGTCTGGGAATCATGTGGGTAAGCTGGAGCCTACACAAGTGTCTGAACAGCCCCTCTGGCTTTGTGAGGACAGCAGGCCTTGGTGGAAAGCCCGCCGGGCACTCTACAACTGCTTTACCTGAAGGGCCTCTGTTGTAGGCCTGTCTTCAAAGAATTCAGTTCTTCCAACCCAGGAAAATGGATATGCAAAGTCCATACTGCCAGAGAATAAGGAAGGTCAATATTCAAGATGAGGACTCCTGTGGCCCTGAGTCACTCTGGGACCCATCCAAGATGGACAGTTTCCTGCCAGGCATCAGTAGCTCATGCCTGTAGCCTAAGCTACTCAGGAGGCTGAGATCTGAAGATCAAAGTTCAAAGCCAGCCCAGGCAGGAAAGTCTGGAAGACTCTTATCTCCAATGAACCACCAAAAAGCCAGAAGTAGAACTGTGGCTCAAGTGGTAGAGCACTAGCCTTCACCAATAAAGTTCAGGAACCAGCACCTAGGCCCTGAGTTCAAGTCCCAGGACTTGTATACACACGATAACTAACAGTTTCCTCATACCCAAGACTGGTTGGGAAAGGGATGGAGATTTCCCAAGCCCCCCTAAATGAGTCCTTGTGTTAGCTTTCTGTAAATGTGTCCAAAATACCTGGGAGAACAACTTAAAGGAAAGAATTCTTTATTTTGGTTCATGGTTTCAGCCTCTCATGACAGGGAGTTGAGGAGAATGTGGCAGAGTAGTGCATATTATGGTGGACAAGAAGCAGAAAAAGAGGAGGAACCCAGGGACCAGATAGAAGCTTCACAGGCACATCTCCAGTGACCTACTACTTTCTCCATCTTAGTTCTGCCTTGTAAAGTTTCTAGAACCTTCCAAGATAATGCTACCAGCTACGTAGCATTATGTGCGCTTTTTGTTGTTGTTTTTAAGCGAGGAGGGGAACAATTTCTCCATCTGCCTAAGAGCCTCACTGTTTACCTCATTCGCAAGTTGTATAAAAGGAATTTTGCAACTAACTTGACTGGCAGGGAAACTGACCTGAGAAAGGGAGGTATGTTGCAGGAGGGAAGAAGTATGCTGGAAATGACTTTGCTCCATTTCTCCTAGGCTCTGTGTTCAGTAAGTACCCACCAGGAAGGGGTTTAAGAAAGCCTAATTCTTCTCCTGAGCTGCCCAGGAAGGATACAGTTTGCTCAAGTAAAGAGGTAATTCCTTGCACCAACCACTACTTCTATGAGGGAGGGCATACTTAGAGGACAAGCCTGAGAAAATGATTGCTTACCATAGTGGATAAAGGGCTGGGAAGGTGGCTCAGTGGTAGAGCGCTTGCCTTGCATGCCTGAGGCCCTGGGTTCGATTCCTCAGCACCACATAAGCAAGAAGAAAAAAAGCCGGAAGTGGCGCTGTGGCTCAAGTGGTAGAGCGCTAGCCTTGAGCTGAAGAGCTGAGGGACAGCGCCCAGGCCCAGAGTTCAGGCCCCACGACTGGACCCCCCCCCCCAAAAAAAAAACAGAACTATAGTGGATAAGGTAAATAGACCTAAGTTCAAAATCTGAGTCTGCTATTTCTTGAGCTAGCTGACCTTGGGGAGGGAGATCACATATTTGCACGCAGTGTCTACATTTGTAAACTGAAGATGATTACACCTACACAATAAGATTGAGGTGAGAATTAATCAGAGCGTATTTTGTATGAAGTATTTTAATAGTATCAGGTTTTTTTTAGATTGCAAGCAACAAATTCTGGTTTGTATCACTTCCCCCAACTAGTCAATGAAAATCTGATCTTTGTTCCAGTTAGGTGATCCTGGGTGCTATGCTCCGATTGGTTTGAACGTTGATGTTCTGGCTTATCTCATTGGGACGAAGAGCCTGAGATTATCTTAACTGGGTTAGAATCTAGACGTTAGAGCAATCTGGACTTTCCATCCAAAGTTTGTGATTAGACAGTTACAATGGATATTGGGAAAGCAAGAATGTCACTAGATCAGGGATGAATAGAATCTTAATAAATTTTCTTCCCTGTCCCCAATTTCTTGTGGCAGCTTCCCTAGAGCTGACTATGAGGGATTCCCAGTAAGGGTCAGGAACCCCAATATTTCCACCCTGTGACAGATTTCAAGGTTTCTTTTGTGGGTTTTTTTGTTCTTTTTTAATTTTTGTGCCAGTACTTGGGCTTGAAATTGAGGCTTGGGTGCCCTCCCTTAGCTTTTTTACTCAAAGCTGGTACTCTACCACTTGATCAACACCTCCACTTTTGGCTTTGTTGGTGGTTAATTGGAAATAAGAGTCTCATAGACTTTTTTTTTAATCTTGGCTGCCTTTGAACCTGAATCCTCAGATCTCAGCCTCCTGAGTAGCTAGGATGACTTACAGGCATGAGCCTGCAGCCCCCAGCTTTCAAATGTGTGTTTTTAACAGCTAAAGAATAACCCAATCAAGCCTGAGTTACTTACATCATAGGCAGTTCTTTATAGGTAATAATAGTTTCTTTCTTGTATCCTAAAGTGGTTAGCAAACTGTGGGCTGAAAAAACGGAAGATGGAGATTTCCAGGTGCTTTGGTCCCATCTGCAGCCATCAGAAGGCAGCTCCAAGGTCGGCGTCAGCCAGACACTGTGGCATCTTCCCCAGCATAAATGTCCACGTGAGTCTCAGCACTGTGACGCCCTTCTCAGTTAGAGAGCTCATGTTGTAGAGCAGAAGCGTCAGACCCCACCAAGGTGTCAGTGGCTAGTTCTTGTAATCCTAGCTACTCAGGGGGCTGAGATCTGAGGGTCATAGTTCAAACCCAGCCTGGGTAGGAAAGTCTGTGAGTCTCTGATCGCCAGTCAATCACCAAAAAGCCAAAAGTGGCTCAAGTGGCAAAGTGCTTAGCCCTAAACCTAAAAGCATAAAAGTGCCCAGGCTCTGAGTTCAAGCCCCAGGACCAACAACAACAATTAAAAAAAAAATGGAGATACAATTTTTTTCTTATCCCAGTGACTTCATTCATTCTCTAATTCCCAGAACTCCTGAACTATACATTGAACTATAAATCCAATAGTAAAAAGAAAAAGAGCTTTTAAATAAATAAAAAAAAACAGGCAGGGCAGCTGGGCACCGGTGGCTCACGCCTGTAATCCTAGCTACTCAGGAGGCTGCAATCTGAGGATCCTGCGGTTCAAAGCCAGCCTGGGCAGGAAAGTCCGTGAAACTCTTATCTCCAATAAACCACTAGAAAACCGGAAGTGGCGCTGTGACTCAAGTGTAGAGTGCTCGCCTTGAACTGAAGAGCCCAGGGACAGTGCCCAAGCCCAGAGTTCAAGCCCCATGACCGACAGAAAGAAAGAAAAGGAAGGAAGGAAGGAAGGAAGGAGGGAGGGAGGGAGGGAGGGAGGGAGGGAGGAAGGAAGGAAGAAAGAAAGAAAGCTGCAAGTGGCACTGTGGCTCAAGAGGTAGAGTGCTCGCCTTGAACTGAAGAGCACAGGGACAGTGCCCAAGCCCAGAGTTCAAGCCCCATGGCCAACGAAAAACAGGCAGGGCATGGTGGTACACACCTGTAATCTCAACACTAGAGGCTGTGGCAGGAGAATCTTGGATTCCAGGCTGGCCAAGGCTTCCTAACAAGACCCTATCTCAAAAATCCATTCATCCATTCATTAAGTAATGAATGGATGAATCAAACAAATGTGTGCCTCACAGGTGTTTTGGCAGGTTTGGTTTTGTTCCATGCCAGTACTGGGGCTTGAACTCACAGATAGGATGCTTTCCCTTAGCTTTTCCACTCAAGGTTTTCCACTCTACCACTTCAGCCACACCTCCATTTCCAGCCTTTTGCTGAATAACTGGAGATAAAGAGACTAGGGGAGTCATCTGGCTAGGCAGGGTTCAAACTGCGATCTTGACATCTCAGCCTCCTGAGTGGCTAGTTTATACTGGCACGTGTCCAGCTGTTTGGGCAGTTGTTGATGACAATGAGAGGCCGAGACTGTGAAGAACTGGCTGATGGATATTTGCCTTCGGTTACCTTAACCAGGGAGTGGTGAGGCACCTACGGTGGACGCTATGGGAGATGGACATGTACATCTCCAGCATGGAGAAGCTGATGAGACGCTATGTGCAAAGGCTGCAGTGGCTGCTGTCTGGTGAGCCCGCCCGCTACCCTGAGAGGAAGAAGAAGGCGAACCCCAGAACCTCAAAATCAATCCTTCCCAGACCACTCTCTCCAGAATTGTCAGGTCAAAAGATTAAGCCCCAGAGAGCCATCCAGCGATAACATGAGCCGCGGGTTCAGAGGTCAGGCAAGGTGCCACATGACAGGAAGTTGCTTCCTTGGTCAAGGGGCTCAGAAAGAGCAATGCCCGTCCAAGCCACCTTAGGGTCCTCTGCAGGTACCTCTACAGGTACTAAGCAGCTCCCCTCATGGGTCTGTTAGTATTAAGAAGTCTCCCATGGATATGAAGTCCTGACCGAAGATGCCCTCAAGCTGCCTCTGGGCTGGGCAGAGCCAGGCTGGCATGCAAGGGAAGGGCTGCTAAGGGGTTCAGAGACAGTCTGTGCTGGGGCACCAATGGCTCACATGTGGAATCCTAGCTACTCAGGAAGCTGAGATCTGAGGATTGCAGTTCAAAGCCAGCCTGGGACTCTTATCTCCAATTAACCAGCAAAAAGCAAGAGGTGGAGGTGTGACTTAACTGGTAGAGTACCAGACTTGAGAGGAAAAGCTAAGCCAGATAGAGCACAAGGCCTTGAGTTCAAGTCCCTGTACTAGCACACACACACACACACAGCAATGAATCAGGACTGGAGACATGGCTCAAGTGGTGAAGTGCCAGCCAAGCAATCAAGCTGAGAAAGTTCGAAACCTTGAGTGCAAACTCCAGTACTGATAAAAAAGTACATTTTTTTCTTTTTTTGGGGGGGGGGCCTGTTGTGGGGCCTGAACTCTGGGCCTGGGCACTGTCCCTCAGCTCTTCAGCTCAAGGCTAGCACTCTACCACTTGAGCCACAGCGCCACTTCCGCTTTTTTCTTTTTGCTTATGTGGTGCTGAGGAATCAAACCCAGGGCCTCAGGCATGCAAGGCAAGCGCTCTACCACTGAGCCACCTTCCCAGCCCCTGATAAAAGAAATAGAGGGGAATAACTCTGAATCTTGGAAGTCAAGAAGCTGGGTTGACAGCTAGAGACAGATAAAAGGGCCTGGAGGGTTTCAGGCACAACAAGAAGGAGGTTCTGTGGGAACTCTTGAGGTCCTGGGCACTTTGTGTTCCCATCAGTAGTGTTGTGGTCATGGCTCCTGCTTTCCAAGAAGAGCCACACACCTAGGGCCATTGCCAAATCAGAGGCTAGGGTGAGACAAAAAGGGGGTGAGCCTCTCCCCATTCCTAGTCCATGGTGACCACAGAGGAAGAGCTCAAAGCAAATTCTTCTTCCACTTCTTCTTCCTCCTCTTATTCTTTTTTTTTATGTCACCTTATATTATTTTTTACTTAATTTTTTAAAGAGGGTTACAGTTACATGAGCAAGGTAATGAGTACACTTCCTATTGAGCATTGTTACCCCCTCCATTGTTTTCCCCCTACCATTCCTTCCCTCCCTACCTTCCCTGAGGTTTATTTTTTTTTAATTGTGATTAAGTGATTACATAATTTCCCGAATTTCACAGTATTGTGGAATAATGATGCTCATTTAAAGACACAAGTTCATTCTAACTTTCCTGGAGCATATTGCCTATCACGGTCTATGACATATAACGGTGTACACATATATACCATACATGTGATCAGCAGCATGGGGATATTTAGTAGTGGTTTGACCAGATGAGTGGGAGTTCTTTGTTTCTTAAGTCCTGTTAATTTTGTTGTATCACCTAACATTTTGGATTTAGCATCCACTTATCAGGGAGACCATGTACCGTTTGTCTCTTTGCTCTTGGCTTACCTCGCTCAACATGATTCCTTCTAGCTCCATCCATTTCCCTGCAAATTCCATTATTTTGTCATTTCTAATGGCTGCATAATATTCCTTTGTGTATAGATACCACAATTTTTGGATCCATTCATCTGTGGTGGGGCATCTGGGTTGTTTCCATATCCTAGCTATTGTGAACACTGCTACAATCCTCCTCTTATTCTTGTCCTCCTCCTCCTTCTCTTTCTTTCTTTCTTCTCCTTTTCCTTCTTCTTTCTCCTTCTTTTTTTCTTCTTCTTCTGTGTAGCACTGGGGCTTGAACTGGGGCCTGAGTGCTGTCCCCTGACTTTTTCTCATTCAAGGACCACACTTCCACTTCCACCTTTTTGCTGGTCACTTAGAGACAAGTATCTGGTTTCCAACCTCGAACCTCAGATCTCAGCTTCCTGAGTGGCTAAGATTATAAGCCTGAGCACCAAACACTCAAACTTCGAAACTTACCCACAGGCTTCCTTCACTCATCCATTCATTCATTCACTCATTCACTCAACAGGTAAATGATGCCCTCCTGCTTAGTGCTAGGAGTGAGGGGAAGACAAATTCCAGCATGGTCCCTGAGCTTACAGAGCATATGGTCTAGGATACAGGTGTTAACCAAAGCCACAAGTCTAATAACCATAACTGTGGCAGGGAAGAAGGGCATGTTGCTTCGAGGAGCAGTTGGCCTGGACAGAAAGGTCAAGGAAGTCTTGATGTTTGAGCTGAGGTATGAACAGTGCACAGATATTATCTGGACCAGGAAAAGAACAGCTAGCCTGGGTTAGCCACCATAAACTTGTGACTGAGATCCTCCTGTCTCTGCTCCTGCCGGGATTACAGTTGTGTGCCACCATGCCAGGCTTCCCTCTTATTCTTTTGACATGAGCCTTACTGTGGAGCACCCAGATGAGTTTTGAGTCTGAACCCTCCATCTCCTTGATCTTGAGTTCTCCTGGAGAGTGGCAGTCTGTTTTTTCCACTAGCCCACTGAGTCCCAAAGACACATTTCCAGAATGCTGGACATACTGTCTTCTTGTCTGTCTTTCCTTGTGTCATCTCTGCTTAACCTTTGAAGCCAGAAGGTCCAGAACCTCAGCTCTGCCACTGTCAAACTGGGGCATCCCGAGCAAGTCACCCATCCTCTGGGGATCCCCAACCCTTGAACCCCCTCCCTGCTTTACCCCTCATCCTTTTTTCCCCCCATGAGTCTCTGTCCTCCACAATGGCTTTTGTCCACATCGAACTTGCTTATCAGACGCCAGGTGTGTTGAACACAACCAGAAAACCACCTTGGCGGAAGGACCCCTCCCTCACGCCTTTCCTACTTCCATGCCCACCCATCTCTGAGCAGGGAGCCGCCAGATGTTTGGTGTCATCTTGGAGAGCAAAGTGTGCATTGTGCTGGACATGTCTGGGTCCATGGAGCCCTACCAGCAGCAGGTGAAGTCGGAGCTGGTGCTGCTGATTTGGGAGCAGCTGCGGAAGCACTGTGACAGGTAGGAGTTAGTGCTGCGGGTGGGCGGGGTCGGCACTGCGCACTGCGGGTGGGCGGGGTCGGCACTGTGGGTGGGCGGGGTCAGCACTGTGGGTGGGGTCAGCACTGTGGGTGGGAGGGGTCACTGCTGTGGGTGAGTAAAGCCAGAGACTGGTGGGTGGGTCAGAGCTGTGGCAGGTGTAATCAGCAATCGGGTGGGTGGGAAGATCAAAGGCAGTTTCCAGGTTGCCCTGTCCAAGAAGCCTGGAAAGTTCTGAAGAACTTATTGGCCTTGAACTTAATTTGTGTGGAGGGGAGGGGGTATGTGGTGTATGTGTGGTGGGAATGGGTCCTCAGGCCTCAAACAAGCAAGGTAAGTGCTCTACTACCAAACTACACACCAATCTCTGAACTCAAATTCGTGTGTGTGTGTGTGTGTGTTGGTTCCCGGGCTGGCTAGTTCCTCCTCAAGTTCAAGGTGCTGTTCCTAAGCTTTTTTCTCAAGGCTAGCACTCTACCTTAACTTTTGGCTTTGTACTGGTTAATTGAAGATAAGCGTCTCAAGGACTTTTCTTGCCCTGAGTAGCTAGGACTACAGGTGTGCGCCACCAGTGCCCAGCCTTGAAATCTATCTGCCTCAAGAATCTTCAGTGTGGACCCTGTCACTCTCGGGTGACCCACAGCCCTCCTCAACAGACCACAGAGCTCATTCTAGGGGTCTTAAGTGGTGGATGTGAAGAATCCCCACAGAGGTGACTTTCGGGGGGCCAGCCAAGACCAGCCTGATGGATCTATCTCCTCTCTCCTCTCTGTCTCCCAACTTCTCTGTCCTCATCTCCAGTTTCAACCTGCTCAGCTTTGCAGAGAACCTAAAGCCATGGAAGGACACGCTGGTGGAGACCACAGAGGAAGCATGTCACGAGGCCATGCAGTGGGTGACCCACCTGCAAACTCAAGAGAGCACCTCGATTTTTTCAGCCTTAAAGGCAAGTGCCTCCATCAAACAGGACCCTGTAGCAGAGAAGCCACTTCATCACCCCTTAAGCGTGAGACATTTCAGGATTCATCACCTGTTACTGAATTTCTTTTCTTTCCTTTATTATTATTATTTTGGTCAGTTATGGGCTTGAACTCTGGGCCTAGGCACTGTCCGCCCCTCAGCTCTTCAGCTCAAGGTGAGCACTCTACCACTTGAGCCACAGCGCCACTTCCAGTTTTCTGGTAGTTTATTAGAGACAAGAATATCGGACTTTCCTGCCCAGGCTGGCTTTGAAATGTGATCCTCAGATCTCGGTTCCCTGAGTAGCTAGGATTATGGGTGTGAGCCACCGGTGCTTGACTTTCTTTTCTGTGTGTGTGTGTGTGTGTGTGTGATGGTACTGGGACTTGAACTCAGGGCCTGGATACTATCCCTTTGCTTTTTCTCTCAAGTCTGGCACTGTAACACTTAAGCCACACCTCTTCATTGGCAATAAGCTTTATAGACTTTCCTGCTGGGGCTAACTTTGAACCTTGATCCTCAGATCTCAGCCTCCTGAGTTAGCTAGGATTAACAGGCATGAGCCATCAGTGCCCAGCATTTTATCTTCCTAAAAACCCAGTAAAGAGCCAGACATCAGAGGTTCACACCTGTAATCCTAGCTACTCAGGAGGCTGAGATAGGAGGATCACAGTGCGAAGTCAGCCCAGGCAAGAAAGTCTATGAGATGGGTATTTCTAATTAACCAGCAAAAAGCCAGAAGTGGAGCTGTGGATCAAGTGGTAGAGTCCTAGCCTTGACCACAAAGATTCAGGGACAGTGCCCAGGCCCTTAGTTCAAGTCATCACACGCACGCGCGCACACCCACCCACCCCCACACACAGACACAAGCACACACACACACACACATGCACACACATCAATGAGAAAGTTCTTTTTGTTGTTTTAAATGTCAGTATTGGGACTTGGACCTTTGCTTAGCGTTTTTTTTTTTTTGGTCGGTCATGGGGTTTGAACTCTGGGCCTGGGCACTGTCCCTCAGCTCTTCAGCTCAAGGCGAGCACACTACCACTTGAGCCACAGTGCCACTTCCGGTTTTCTGGTGGTTAATTGGAGATAGGAGTCTCACAGTCTCTCCTGCCCGGGCTGGCTTTGAACCGTGATCCTCAGATCTCAGCCTCCTGAGTAGCTAGGATTACAGGCATGAGCCACTGGCACCTGGCTACCTAGCTTTTTTACTCAAGGATGGCATTCTGTCACTTGAGCCATACTTCCATTTCTAGCTGTTTGCTGGTTAACTGGAGATAAGAGTCTTTCCAGTTTGTCTGTCTGGGCTGGCTTTGAACTGTGATCCTCAGATCTCAGCCTCCTGAATAGCTAGGATCACAGGTGTGAACCATCAGGGTCTGGCTTGAGAAAGTGATTTTTGTTTTCTCCCGGAGATAAGGACCCAGAGGCTCAGAGAGGTTAAGTGACTTGCTTAGAACTAACCAGCTAGGAAGTCACCATGTTCTTCCTTGATCTATCTTGGGCTGAAAGAGGACATGTCAGAGGCATCCAATCAGGCACACTTTTCTCGGGGACAATTGAATGATCCCCCTTTCCTCCTTCCTGTGCTCTCTCAGAAAGCCTTCAGTTTCTGTGATGTACAAGGGCTGTACCTCCTGACCGACGGGAAGCCAGACACAAGCTGCAGCTTTGTCCTCAACACCATCCAAAAGTTCCAGAAGGACAGAGATGTAAAGGTGCACACTATCTCTCTGAACTGTGCAGACAGGTGGGCAAATTTGCTTCTCCTGAACCGCTTGCCTGAGGAGGTGATCTGGACTCCTCAGCTAAACCTGGGCCTCCCTTAGACACGAGTGTCCTGTGTCAAGAATTGGGAAGATGCACAGCTTTGCCAGAGGCCTCAGCAGATGCTAGAGCCTAGAAGAAAGCCCCTTGCCCTGAGCCCAGGTGGCTCACACCTGTAATCCTAGCTACACAGAAAGCTAAAATCTGAGGAACCTGGTTTAGGACCAGCCCAGGCAGTAAAGTCTGTAAGAGTCTTGTCACAAAAAAGCTGGAAGTGGAGCTATGGCTCAAGTAATAGAGCTAGCCTTGAGCAAAAGAGCGCAGGGTCAGTGCCCAAGCCCCAGGTTCAAGCTGCCATACCAGCACACAAAGAAAAAGCCCCTTGCAGCTGGGCGCCAGTGACTCACACCTGTAATCTTAGCAACTCAGGAGGTAAGATCTGAGGATCTTGGTTCAAAGCCAGCCCAGGCAGGAAAGACTGTGAGACTCCTATCTCCAATAAACCACTAGAAAACCCGGAAGTGGCGCTGTGGCTCAAATGGTAGAGTGCTTGCCTTGAGCTGAAGAGCTGAGGGACAGCGCCCAGGCCCAGAGTTCAAGCCCCACGACCGACAAAAAAAAAGGAAAGAAAAAGCCCCTTGCATCACCCCAAACTGACCCCACCACCAGCTGCTCTTTTGTCTCTCTCCAGCCTAAAAATTATTCACTCCATTCATACAATCCCACCATCTTTGTCCTCACCTTTCTTGAAAGCATATTTATGAATATTTACAGGGGAAACCCCAGTGAAGAAAACATATTGACATAGCACCATTTTTTTTAAATAAGCTATCACTATTAAAAAGTAGGTAAAGCTGGGTGCTGGTACACGCCTATAATTCTAGTTACACAGTTATAATTCTAGGATCACAGTTTGAAGCCAACCTAGGCAGAAAAGGCCATGATACTCTTATCTCCAACAAACTACTTAGAAAATACCAGAAATGGTGCTGTGGCTCTAGTGGTAGAGCACTAGCCTTAAGCAAAAGAAGGCTCAGGGACAATGCCCAGGCCCTGAGTTCCCATGACTGCCCCCCCCCGCCACACACACACACACACACACACACACACACACACACACAAGTATGGGTGTCGGTAATTCACTCCTGTAATCAGATCTCAGAAGGCTGAGATCTGATGATCTCAGTTGAAAGCCAACTTGAGCACAGAAGTCCATGAAACTCTTATCTCCAATTAACCACCCAAAAAGCCCTAAGTGGAGCTGTGGCTCAATGATAGAGTACAAGCCTGGAGCAGAAAAAGTTAAGCAAGGGTGTGAGGCCTTGAGTTCAAGCACCAGTACCAATGCACGAGTGCGCGCGCACACACACACACACACACACACAAAATACCATGTAAGGCAGGCCTCAGCTTTTTCACAGATCTATTTTCTCATTGGGCAGGGAAGTATTCGGATCCTTTAGCATGCATGGGGCCCTGAGTTCAATCCTCGACACAAGGGCACGTCATTATTCACAAGCCAATTACTTAGGTACATTCTTCACTTGCTATTTACATTGTGAGTTCTGTAAAACTTGCCATATATCCCTCACAGGCCTACCACATATTGAAGAGATGCCAAAGACCAGAGCAGGCTGGCAAGGCAAAGCAACTTCAAAGGAGGTCTAGGAACCTGGTGAATCTCCATGAACTGGGTCAGAACAGTGTATTTGGTGATACTAAAGATAGTTTCCATTGCCAGGTGCTGATGGCTCAGGCCTATAATCCTAGCTTGACAGGAGGCTGAGATCTGAGGATTGTGGTTCAAAGCCACCCCAGGAAGGAAAGTCTGTAGGACTCTTATCTCTAATTGTGTACCGAAAAATCAATAGTTACGCAGAAGTGGTGCTATGGCTCAAGTGGTAGAGTGCTAGCCTTGAGCAAAAAAGCTCAGAGACAGCACCCAGGTCCTAAGTTCAAGCCCAGTAACAGCAGCAAAAGGAAAAAGAAAGGAAGTCTCCATGGTGCTATGCTAGCCAAGGCCTGGGGCCAGGACACCTGAAGTTACCCCCCTTGGGCCTAGGGATGTCAGCCAGTCTCTCTCAGCCTCTGTGAGCCCATCGGCCTCTGTTCCTCCTCCAGAGAAGCAGTTGAGTTCCTGAGGAAGCTGGCAGCCCTCACTGGGGGCCGCTACCACTGCCCTGTGGATGATGACACACTCTGCAAGATTCACGGGCTGCTCACCAGAGGCTTCAGCCTTGAAACGGTAGGTCACCAGCTGCTGAGTGCAAATCTGTCCAATGAAATGCCCATAAACTGGGCCAAGAATGAGTCAGGAGACCCAAGTGGAGGTGATGTTGGCAAGGACAGAGCAAGATGTAGAGGTAAAGAGCATGTATCTAAGTGCTCTTAGCTTCTCAGTTTAAGACCTTGTCAGTCCAGGGGACAGGTAGCTCAGGGAGTGTGAAGAAAACTCACACTCTGTGGATATGTATTGCTTAAATGTTCCTGCTTTGGCCTGGTGGCATGGCTCTTATTTAGGAATAGAGGAACTGTTTGGGGATAAGAAAGGATTTTTAAAACGTAAGATTTTGTCTTGGATGGGTTTCTTTTCGAGATGGAATTACAGCACACCCCAGACTGTGCAAGAAATAGCAGAGGGTGTGGGTATGTTTTGAGATTACTCGTGAACTGTTCCTCTTCTTTCAAAATCACCTTATATAAATACATTTTGCCATTCAGACTAGCCAATGGTGAGCAGATTGTGGACCTGAGCTTGACCAATCTGAGCAGAGGGGCGGGGCCTTCTTGAGGGATAAATGTCAGAGCAGATTGCCTGCTCCCTGTGCTTGCTTGCCAGATTTTTCTGGCTGATGGGGCACCCTTCTGTGTAGAAGTCAATTTTGCCTTGCTGAGACAATTCTTTATTTTTGTGTGATTCCAACGGTTCTTGGAGAGCATATTTATAACAGGAGCCAGAGAGGGAGACAGCTTCATCTCTGGGAAGTGTTAGTGTGAGTGCTGTATTAGGCCTAGGCTTTGGGACTTCTGCCATTAGCATTTTGAAAAACTTATCTTTGAAATGCTTATTTTATTTTATGTTACGTTATTGCACCAGTATTGGGGCTTGAATTCAGCTTTTATTTTTATATTTATTTTTTTTTAAGTCACAAACACCATTTAATCTAATTAGGACTTGAATTCGGCCTGAGCTCTGTCCTTTAGCTTCTTTGCTGAAGGCTCGTGCTCTGTCACTTGAGCCACAGTTCCACTTCTGGCTTTTTTGTGTGTGGTTAATTGGAGACAAGAGTCTCACGGACTTTCCTGCCAGGGCTGGCTCTAAAGTGTGATCCTCAGATGTTGGCCTCCTAAGTAGCTAGAATTACAGGTATGAGCCATTAATGCCCTGCTTGAAGCTCTATTTTACTAGAAGAAATGGAGAAAGGACAGAAGACATTGTACTGATTGAGTAGCAGGTAGATAAGGACAGGTACCCTGAGTGCCTGCTGGGCCTGAAGAGGTCTTAACTTCCCCTGAAGTTCAGAGATCATCTTCATTGACTATTCCTCCTCCCGACACTAATTCTCATGGGTGGAATGGCTTCCTGGATAGGTGGTGAGCTTCCCATTCCTGAAGATACTCAAGCTGAGGTCCTGCATGGAAGCTGGATTTTATTCACTCTAAAATTTTAGAATTTGGAAGCCAGGTGCTGGTGGCTCACTCCTGTAATCCTAGCTACTCAGGAGGCTGAGATTATAGAATGGAGGTTCAAAGCCAGCCCAGGCAGAAAAGTCCATGAGACTCTTCTCTCCCATTGGCCACTAAAAAGCTGGAAGTGGAAGTGCGCCTCAAGTTGTAGAGCTCCAGTCATGAGCAAAAACATTAGGCCCTGAGTTCCAGTCCCAATGTAAAAATTTAAAATACAATAATTCATGCTTTTTCCTATCCAGTAATTTAATGGCTTAAAGTCACACTGATCTCCCCTTTCCAAGGACCCTGCACTGCCACTTTTCGAAGGAGATGACTTAAGAAAATTAGCCCAAGAGATCAACAAAGCCACAACCTTCCTCAAGCAAGCCCAGTCCTTCAGGTATGCCACTAGCAGCCCTTCTCCCCCAAACCCCAGGCCCCACTGAGACACACCACCCACCCTGGTTATAACACTCTAATTCTGTAAGCACCTGGCATGTTTCCCCCCGACAGGCCCAGAAATATGGGCCCCAAGGGAACCATCATTCTTCTTCTGCCTACCAGATCTCAACTCCAGAAGAAAATTAATGCAGAATCCAAGAGTGGGATTTGCTAAAATGGTGGTCTCAGGTAAGAGACGAGAATGGGCTTCCCATGCTAAGGGCCAAGTCACCTGCTTACTTTACTAGACAGTTGTATCTAAAGGAAGGAGTTGCCAGGTGCTGGTGGCTCACCTGTAATCCTAGGTACTCAGGAGGCTGAGATCTGAGGATTGTGGTTTAAAGCCAGCCCAGGCAGGAAAGTCTGTAAGACTCTTATCTCTGCTACACTAACAAAAAAATCGGGAATGGAACTGTAGCTCAAATAGTAGAGCGCTGACCTTGAGCAAAAGAAGCTCAGAGACAGTCCCCAGTCCCTGAGTTCAAGTCCAAAGACTGGCACACACACACACACACACACACACACACAGGCTAGGCTGTAGCCTACAGATTATGTGTAGGAAAATACCATTCCAGACCCCAAGCTGGCCTGTATGCTGAGGGAGAGAAGGTTTTTCATATATGGGGCCATCTTGGTGCTTCCCTCCCTCCCACCTGTCCCCCAGCATTCCAGACACAAAGTTGTCACTCAATACAAAGTCTTGCATGGAGCTCCCTGTCTAGGAAATTCCCTTTCTTGACACCTCTGACTAGTGATACCTCATCCATCAAGGCACAGTTCAAATGATATCAGCTCCACTGTGAAGGCTCCCTAGCATGTATCTAGAATGGGGAACTTCCAGGCAGAATTGGAAGCTTCCAGCAATCCTGTCATAGCATCCTGACTGGCCACGCCCCTTTGCCATACCAGTTTCCTGCTCCATTATCTACCTTTCCCTTGACCTTGGTGCTCTCAGGAGGAGGCTGCTATCCTTATTATCTAGGTGTCCCTAGAATCTACCTGCTGGAACCTGCTAGAACTTGCTCCCTGGCAAACAAGGTGGACATTGAGCTGAGTGTGAAGGGCCAGCTCTGGAAACCAGCCAGACGAGACTTCTTCCCGATCTTCTCCGGTTCTCACCCATTGCTCTACAACCAAAGCAAGGTCACTGTCAACCCATCTTGGAGGTAGAAGAAACAGCAGAGTCCTCGTAGCCACCCCTCACCCCTAAGCAAACTGAAGACATCTCTGGAACTTAGTCAAGAGCAGATGCTTTGCTCACGCTGGTAAAAGTCAGGCTGCATCGTCTGGGCCTAGCCCCACTATTTATGGATGAAATAGATGTGTCATGCATGATGTCATTTTCAAAATTAAAAAATTCTCATTTCATTAATATGGTTGAAGTGACTTGACTTTGATTACTTGATCATGTCAAATGATCTGTGAGTCTGTGTGTGTGTGTGTGTGTGTGTGTGTGTGTGTGTGTGTGTGTGTGTGTAAAGCCTGAGATAAAACTATTACCCAGAATATACAAAGAACTATGAAATAATATGGGAAGGCTAAATTGAACCCTCTTTGTACAACTACTTAAAGAAAATTTTTAAAATAAATACCACTAAGTGAGAAAAAATTCAAGCCAGGCATAAGTGGCTCAGTCCCGTAATCCTAGCTACTCAAAAGGCTGAGATCTGGCTGGGAAATTGGCTCAGTGGTAGAGAGCTTGCCTTGCATGCATGAGGCCCTGGGTTCGATTCCTCAGAACCACATAAGCAGAAAAAAAAAAAAAGGCTGAGATCTGAGGATGATGGTTTAAAGCCAGCCCAGACAGGAAAGTCCATGAGACTTTTTTTTTTGGGGGGGGGTCCAGTTGTGGGGCCTGAACTTCTGGGCCTGGGCACTGTCCCTCAGCTCTTCAGCTCAAGGCTAGCACTCTACCACTTGAGCCACAGCGCCACTTCCGGCTATTTTCTTTTTGTTTATGTGGTGCTGAGGAATCGAACCCAGGGCCTCGAGCATGCAAGGCAAGCGCTCTACCACTGAGCCACCTTCCCAGCCCAATTTCTTTTTTTTTTTTGGGGGGGGGTCTGGTCGTGGGGCCTGAACTCTGGGCCTGGGCATTGTCCCTCAGCTCTTCAGCTCAAGGCTAGCGCTCTACCACTTGAGCCACAGCACCACTTCCAGCTTTTTTCTTTTTGTTTAT